AGTAGATCATTACGACGTGTGTCATTACCTCGATGAATTAATCATACAGCCGGTGCTTTTGAATTCGTGATTTCTTTATGTATTCAACTCACTCTCTCTTTCTCCTTCCTTCTTCTTTCTCCACCTCTTATTCTCTCTTCGATGCTGGAGAGTTAAGTTACCTAAATACCTTTCCGTTCGTCAATTATTTATCATACGAGTGAACGAGACAGAAGCATTCATCTATCGAAGACACTCGTCCGAAGACGGTGTTATGCATATTGTCCCATTGTAAACCCGTCTCATTACACCGATAAAGTCGCCGATAACTTGACTGTGACAGTATCGCGCCGTAGAGTATCGATGTTACGCGGTGTCAATTCGTCTCGAACGGTTGTGAGACTTTCGTATACCTGCTTCTCCACCCATACGGCTTGTTCGTTTTAGCTGAACCAGCGTTACACTGGAACTACTTTCCTCTTCCCGTCATCCGCTAGGTCTCACGTACTTGTTTCATTCTAAGCGCAAAAAGCGCAATCTCGTCCGGCCGAAGTAAGCAAACCCGTAAGAAAGGCATGAAAAGTTTCCTGAGTGTTTGATTTGCGGCTGTCATCGCGTATTTTCACATTAACAGAGATATATCATTTTCTCGTTAACCAATTTCAACTTGGTGTCGGTTTTGTTACACGAAGTTTTTTTTTCCCGTATAATAGAGGAGAAGATGATTATTATATATGGCCTTCTCTTGTAGGTATTATGGCCTCCTTAATGTTTCCGCTACTAGATGACGAATTCTAGAGATTACTTACTGGAATCATTGTTACGCAATGGCGATAACGTGCCAATACATAATAGCCGGGCATTTGTTATAACGCAATTTTACTCTCGAACATTTCGTTTTCAAGGTGCATTTTAGCATTTGATTATACATATTTCATCATTCTACTTAAACTTGAGCGTATTATCGCATGAATACATATACGCTTGAGTGTCTTCTTCGTTATTTCACATTTTATTACGCTGTACACATTTCGAATTATGCAAAGTCAAACAATAGTGTAGCATTTTGCTAATTTAGTCCTTCTATTAAAATAAATTTAATGCGACCTTTTCTCGAGATTTTCATGTCGAACTAGTTATTGGATAAGCCGATAAATCAGGTTAAATTTAAAAGCCTATTCGTTTTGTAGAAACTGTCCTTCCGACAATTTATATCTACTTTCTGACAAACCAATATCTACACTGAAAAAAAATTGCAACGTTCAAATAAATATTTGCTAAGGAATATTGGAGTAATTTATTTTACTTGGATTAAGAAAATAAACTATTCTAATACTCCTTATATTAGAAATATTTACTTGAATGTAACAATTTTTTTTCAGTGCACATTAAATATTCACGGTTATATTCACTGTTGTCTCTTCTAAGAGTTTATTTTGAATGAATATATAAATTTATAACAGGTGTGTTTTAAACAAAACCAATTTTCTAAATCTATTTTAGGGGGGGGGGGCACATTACCACCCCTGTTCCTCTTCGAACCACTACACAGTGTCGTCACATTTTTACAAATAACGCCCAAGGTTATGAATATTTCATGACTTTGAATTTCGAGTTGATTGAACAACACTTTGACGAATGTAATCGTTATAAGTTTCCAATTAAAAATATCAATTACTAACAAAATTATCATATAAAGTGTAAATGGAGGGCCGTAACACCACCTTCTCCTCTAATAATCGAAATAACGCGCATCTGTGTTGGTCCAGTGATATAAAAGTCTGGATTCTCGGCGAAAGAAACCCACCTATGGAAAGCCTAACGTTGACAATTAACGGCAACAAACACCCCTTCGTATGCCTAACGCAATCCCTGCGCTCGCCTTATCGTCGCGCGGCTCTAATGACGCAAATTAGAGGAACGAACGCGACGTGGCGCGCGCATGTTCGCGAGACCGTGGAAAGCGTATTAACCGAAGATCGAAGGTAAAGCGCGAGGAAGATTTAATCCGGACGATAGCGTACCCCCGCACATGTACGAAGGGCGCGTCCGACGTTGCCGTCGGTGTGTGGCCGTAATCCACGTACACGCACGCGAACACGAGCGCTTTAGCACCTGTATGCGTCGCACATGAAATATGTAAACGTATATGCTCACCCTTTCGTCGCGGGCGCGTGCTCTATTCTCGGCTATTATAGTTTGCCGTCGTCTCCATTCAGACCCAATATACCTGCCCGCTCGCGTTGGCTTAGCTATCGTCGCGGAAGAGCAACTCGCTCGCTCGTCGCTTCATTCTCTCTCTCTCTCTCTCTCTCTCAGACTCTCAGACCTTTTCTTTCTTTCTATCTATTTCTTCTCCTTTTTCTTCTCTTTTTTCCTCCCGCTTTTTGCTCACCCGCCGCCCTCGATATCAGGCTCTATTTTCTTTGCTACGAAAAGTACGCAACCACCACCACCACGATCGTGACTTCGTGGAACAGGGTGAGGCAGTCGCGCTTCGAAGGAGTAGGAGGAGTAAGGAAAGCTAAAGGGCGCTACGAGGGCACGAGAAGGGGGCAGCGCAGCAAAGGGTGATCGACGAGGGGGGGTGAGAAGTTTCAATTGCCCGACGACGACGACACTGAGGGAACCGACCAACTTCGTAGTGATATCTTTTTTCTGGTACTACTACACGTCATCGAGGAAGTACCGTCGCGACGTTCGCCCGTTGCACGCGCACGAGATCGCGTACACACGTGTGTTGGACGCGCTGTGCGAGCGACTCGCAATAATGAAAAGTGCGAAGTTCGCCGATAGTATGGTTAGTCACAAAAAGATTGCAATATGTCCTTCTTTTTTCCGTTAGTTTCGAAACACATCGCGTGTCCGATAGGAGAGTTTGTTTTTTCAGTAATTCTCAGGGAATACGTTTTCCTATTGGATAGGAGGTGCGTTGGAAAATTCGTCGGAAAAAATGTTACTTCTATCATATTAGCCTTCTCGATACCTATGGCCGGTATTCATAGTCAGATCTTACATTTAAGATCTGACTATGAATACCGACCTATACGTCGTACGCAAAGTACATCGCGAGACGTGGCGTTATCATTATAATTATTTGTGAAAGAATACGTTGGAGATACGCACGGAGAAAAATCATCTTTCTGTTGCGGCGAAGCCATCATTGCTACTGTATATTCGTTAACACATTGTTGACCGGTCACGAGTTAATTCGTGTCTTTCTGCTCAAACGTTGCTGACCGGCCACGAGTAAACTCGTGATCGATGCATTTGCGCGATTGAAACAAGATACATTTGCAAAACCTGTTGTGTACCATTACACGTAGGTGATTGCTACACCGTTTATCATACCAAAAAGAAATATTAAAAGTTACATATTAAATAAAATTTATTGAAGTTTATTTATATTGTTTCACTTCCACATCCAATGGCGAAATAATAGCCGATGACATGAGATAAATTCTAAGTAAAATTGCCGGTCAACAATATGTCAAAAAAGTACTACAACTAGGAACTTTGGTTTAAAATTTATTTTTAAATAAAAATGTTATGATAATTATTAAAAAACAATTTTTTTAATAATACCTGAAATGCATCCAATTTTACAATTTTTAAAAAGTTCGTAAAAATTTATTTTCAAGTAAAAAAAGTTATGATAATTATTAAAAAAACATAATTTTTGTTTCAATAATATCTAAAATGCGTCCTATTTTACAATTTCTGAAAGTTTGACAAACATTGCTTCATCAATAAAAATGTTATGACGATTTTAGTAACGCGCAAGTTTGCCCAAAAACGCGCGGTCCCAGGCGCATGTCTTACAGATTTCTTAGCGGTCCGCAATATGTTAAGACGACAACATTTAATTGGCATGACAAAATTACCGAATTATTCATAATTAGAGCAGACACAATTTTGTTACCAGGGTAGATGATATTTTGCTGATTGAATGTGCCCCAAGGATATGTTAATTTATTATTAGAACAAAATATAGTGTTTTCCTATATTTACCAATCTGTCCTTACAGCAAAATAACTTGTAGATTCAGCGAAGTAGTACAGCGAACGGCAATTAATATTCTTGACAAATCGTTTTGCTGCCATACTAGTAACTGGTAAATTTTGCTGCGACAGCATCAAATTTGCCACACGAGCAACTGATTTTTTTCTCCGTGCGGGACATAATTCGCGCGAGGTTTCGTCATCGAGGAAACTAATGTCGGAAATTGAAAACTTCATCGCATCCCCGTATTAACTCAAACGACCTGTGACCACACTGTCACGCGTCTTTGAATTCGCCTTAACGGCGGCTGTTGAAATGAATCCAAAATACAGTTCTATCAAAATTCCATCGATGGAAGGAAAACTCTCGATATTTTCCACTCAGCCTTTTTATAATCATTTCCGTCCGTCGCCAACATCGCCGAATGAAATGTATCCTTACGTATCTGAACAGTCGTTGGCCGCACAACGAGTTCCGTAAAGTGTGACATAATATTCTCGAAAGTGGACATCTCAACTGTTAGTTATCGATGCTGTTCGCTGTGAACAGCCTTCGTTCTTGAAACGATGTCAAACTCTCGAATGCAAGATAACCGGTGGAAGGTGGTGAGAAACTACTTAAGCTTATCCTCTGATACCTCTAGCCATCGGCCATCATTGAATCAAATACATCCCGGCATCGATCGGCAAAAATCACTTTCCTCGTATCGCGCGACGAAAGCGACGCGAGCTGTTGCTAATTGCCGTTTTACATCAATATAAACACGTAACGCGTTCTCCGCATCGGGATATCCGGAAGGGAATTTCGCGATAACGTACTGGCAGAAGCGTCGGAATCCGAAGGACGCCACCTCCGACATCCGTCCGTTGGACGTCCGTCGCGCGTTTACGCGAACACGATGAAACTTCGGTGGAAGAACGACATCCCTGATTGCTCCGCTCTCTCGGTGTCTCTCGCGGCGATCGTTCAATTAGCGAACGTGGAATCGTAATCACGGTAATGACAGCGTTGACACTTACCGGCCGCTCTTCGTGATGACCATTTCCGTGCCGAGCTTGTGGAATTTCTCCCAGAGCTCCTTGCCCTCGAGCGTGACCTTCGGGTCGTCGACGACGCCGTCCTCCTCCGGATGATGAGGCGGCACGAGGGGATGGTGCGGCGCCGCGAGGGGGTGGTGCGTCGCCAAAGGATGTGGCGACGTGTGAAGCATCCCCGGTGGCAGCGGCGGCCTCAGAGGCCTCATCGCAGGACCGCCGGGGCCCTGATGGTGGTGATGTAACGCCGCCGCGGCGGCCGCCAGGACGGCGGCCTCTTCCGGCGTGTGCGGTCCCAAACCTAGGCCTGAAATTTCAGAGATATTTCGTGAATTTCATCAACAAAATTTAATTCTCTCTCTCTCTCTCTCTCTCTCTCTCTTCTTCCTACCCTTTCCCCCTCTTTATTCGCGTCGGCACGGAGATCACTATTAAGATAGTAAGTCCTGCGAAAAGGTTAGTGGAATAATCCGACGGCTATTCCCTCGGTAGGATCGCGGCTTGATCCATCAGCTTAATCCATCGTTTACGTTTCATTGAGATCGTAATTATTACGGACGGTGATCGCAAATCGATATCAGTGCACGCACGCACGTACGTACGTATGCACGCACGCACCGTACGCGTACGATGGGTAACATCTGGTCGCGCTGTTCCACGTAACGCAAGATGCGAGCCCGTAATGACCCCCACCGCCGTCGATTCAATACCGAAGCGAAGATCGACGGTGGATAACAAGTAAAAGACAGCTGCTCAAAGTTCGCGAGGGTGAATCACCTGGCGGGCCGCGAGATAGCAACCCCCTGAGAAAAGTTGCGGATTCTTCTCTGTCCCCCCCC